TCAGTTCAACAGCAAAAGGCAGGCGTCGTCGCAAACCGCGAGGATGCCCGTGCTTGCCAAAATGGCAGTGTGGTAGTTCTCCACGTGGTAGCTCACGTCGGAGATGTCGAGCTCGTGCCCTGGGCGGAAGTCGCCCTAGTCTCGCCAGAGGCCGCCCTGGTCTCGCCAGAGGCCTTCTGGTACATGTCACGCAAGCGGACGGCCTTCATCTCAGCTTGCACCTGCTTCTCCTTCTCAGCACGGAGGAGCTTCTCCTGGGCACGATACTCCTTCTCCTGTCGCCACCAGTCGATGTCGGTGTCCACCAGCAGTGAGCCACACTGCATGCACCTCAGCTTGTCCTTGTACTGGTTGCTCCCTCGGGTCGTGAGCTTCTCCTTCGGGTGCTCGCAGTGGTCTGAGCTGGGGTCGGTCTTGCCCTGGCTCTTCCCTTTGTGGCTGCTGCCGGACCCGTCCATCCAGAACTCCTTGTTATTGATTCCGCGTTGCACTGTGTCGTAGATCTTCTTGTCCTTCCGGCACACGGCGCAGTTATTGACGACCACCTCGTACGCCTCCAGGACACCTTCCTCCAGCACTTCGCCGAAGTCCTCCTCGATCTGCATGTAGGATGCGTGCTTGGTCTTCTCGTGCAACGCGCGTGCCTTCATCATGGCCTTCTTCGTCGGTGTCGTAGACTTCTGCCGCTCCTGGTAGAGTCGGTGTGGTAGCTTTTCCCAGTCACCGGCGTCATCGCCGCCTTCATCGTCGTCACCTGGTACTGGCGGTAGCTCTCCTGGATGTGTTGAGCACGATGATCGCTGGTTGGCCTTCTTGCGGGTTCGCGGTCCACACTCGCACTGGTCCACCACCATGCGACACACTGCGCACACAACCACCGTCGCGGCCGCGGCGGCGCCTGACTTGACCTCCTCGGTCTCGGCACCCGCAGCGTCCATCATGTAGATCTCCGCGACCTCGTTGGTGCCGTCCACCTTCACCGTCTCGGCCGACTCCACGATCGCACCAAGATCCTCGGTAACGTCCAGCTTGTCCTGCATGTCGCCCTCGTCGGTCACCTTCGGCTTCTTGATAACGTGCTTCTCCGTGAAGTCCTTCTCGTAGCGCTCGAGGGCGGCCTTGGTCGGCGCATAGATCGTCAGCAGCTTCCGAATCTGCGTGGGGATCCTCCTGCGCTTCGACACCTGGTCCAGGCCAGACCAGTCGACCATCTCCTCAAGCTTCTCGTAGTAGACGTCGTCCTCGCGCTGGCCGAGTGTCATACGCCATCGGAGGTATGGCTTCGGAGCAGGCTGTAACACACGCGCGTTGTACCGAACGTCCGCGATGCACTCCTCGAAGTAAGTGTAGCCTTCGTGAACGTAGTGTTGTTCGGCAGGTCGCAGTCTCTTGGGGTACTTCGCGCGGTAGTACTCGCCCCTGCGTCCCTTGAGCTCCATCCTCTGCTTGGCTATGATCTGGTCGGCCATGAGGTCCTCGGTGAGCCGGTACTCGCCGGTCTGGAGCACGTACCTCATGTAGTCGCCAGCGCGCACGTCGTTCTTGGTGAGGCAGTCGGCGAGCATCTGCTTTGTGTTCACCCACTTGCTCACCACGTTGTTGAACTCCAAGTCATTCCTGAGCGCCTCGATGTCGATCAGCAGCCGCCTCTCGGAGGGTACCGTCCCTCGCTTCTGGAGTAGGTCGTAGAGCGACTTGCAGTCCGTGACCTCCACCATCTTGATGGCCTTCACGTCCTCCATGTGAGTCCGGTAGCCGAGCCCGTAGTGCAGCTCCACCAGGTGCTGCCTCAGCATGTCCCCGCTCTCGACCGCCTCCAGCGCCGCCATCGTCTCGGCAGAGAGGGTGCTGCGGACCACTCGCTTGATGCGGTGTGATCGCCACAGCATGGGTGTGACCTTGGCCGGTCTCCCCTGCAGGAACTTGTCGTCCTTGTTGTCCGCGAGCAGGATGACCAAGCCCGCCTGGCTAGCGGTCTTCGTCTTGCCCACGTTGCCATGGCTAGAATCTCCAACTGCAACCACGATCGCGTCGTCTATGTTGATCTTCTGAAAGGTGATGTCCACGTGGTCCGTCTTGGCGTCACTCACCAGCTTGTTGAAATCCAGCAGGTCCTGAACCTTCAGGTCGCTGTCGTGAGCCCTGGCCTGGCTTTCCACCAGCCGGAACGCCAAGTCCATGCGGGTCGACCGCACCAGCCACTGGATCTGGCCATTGCCACTGTGGAGCATCGCCCTCTCCTCAGCAGTAGCCTTCGCCTCCTTGTCCTTGCGACGCTCGCTCGAGATCGGTATCTTCTCGATGCTCTCGGTGTACTCCTTCTGGCTGCAAGTGATGGTGCCATCGTCGTTCTGCTTGAGGAAGCGCCCGCAATGATGGAAGCCGGCCTTCGCCGTCTGCCACTTGCCGCAACAGTGAATCTTCCTCAGCTTGGCCACCTGGTTAGCGAAGAACTCGGGCGAGCCCGCTACCAAATCGTCGTCCACATGCGTCCCGATCAGGCCGATCAGCTTCCCGTGCTCATCGTGGAAGATGAAGAGAGCCGGGCGCAGCTTCGACTTTGATGCACCGGGCAGGGACAGTATGGTATCTCGATGCTCCTCGTACCACAGCAGTGGTGCGTCGTTCAGCCCGTAGATGCCCTTCTTCGCTTTCAGCACCGTCCCCTCGGGAACCGCTGGCCAGCCCAACTCGGGCACCGCCGGCAGTCCGCCTTTCGGCGCACGAAAGTACACGCGCCGAGAGTCGTCGAGGTACTTCCCGTTCAAGAACGCCGAGTCGACGTCGCCTTGCTCCAGCCTCCAGCCCTCCTGGCTGGCCGCCTCCTGCACGATCGCCGCCGTGGCCACGTCCGTCAGCGTTGGAGCGTTGGTCTTCAACTCCCCCGCGAGCAGCTGCTTGTCCTTATAGCCCGGGACGATGTTCCTGGACTTCGCCTTGAGCGGATGCTGCTCGTACGACAAGTTGCCTCTCGTCGCCTCGTTCTTGTCCGTGCGGACGCGCCTCATGGGCAGGATCGCCGACTGGTCGACTCCCGCGAGCTCCTCGTCAGTGGGCCACTCCACGGCGTCGTACTCGACCCACTTGCGCCACTCTTCCAGGTCGCTCGCGTCGAAGGCCGCCTTCCACTCAGGTGGGATGCTGCGTAGCTCCCGGCCCTTCTTGGGCGTGACCTGCTTCTTCTGCGTGTCGGTCCTCCGAGCTAGGAACGCGTCCCTCGTGCGGTTCTTGACCTTGATGAGCAGGGCGTCCTGGTCCGTCGGGTCGTCCTTGATCTTCGGCAGCCGCATGGAGCTGTTCTTTAGAGCTTCGCGTCGTAGTCGCATGCGTTCGCGATCTGCATCCTGATCGTCTGGAAGCGTCCGCTTGAAGCTAAGTCGTGGCGCAGGCTCTGGCTGCTCAGCTCGATCTGGTTGTTGTTGCTGTTGATGTTGATGCGGAGTGCCTGGCGCAGTAGTAGCGTCCAGGTCCATAGATTGCCCCGGCCCAGCTGCCTCAGCAGGTGGGTCGGCAGGTTGATCCGGAGGAGCAGGTCCTCCTCCCGGTAGTGGTGGTACTTCGGGTAGGTCTCCAGGTGTAGGTGCGTCCTCCTCCTTGGGCTGCTTCTTCGGCGTCGCCTCGATCACCGGCTTCGGTGGTGGTGGTGCTGGCTCGGCGCGCGGCGCCTTAGCCGCAGGCGGGTCGCCCGCGTCGTCCTCGTGGTCCGAGTCCTTCTCGTCCCTCTCGCGGCGCACGCCCGTCTTGTCGCTCCCGTCAGGCCCAGGTCCACGCTCATCGATGAACCCCTTCTGTAGAGTCGGTCCTCCACGCCAGTGGGATAGCTGCCTGACCAGGTCCTCGTTCTCCACCATCTCCGCCTCGTTCCGCGAGGCGTGTCGTACCTGCTCCGGCGTCACGAGCACTGGCACGCCGCGATAGCTGAGATGCAGCCTCGTGTGGCCCTCGGTGGCCAACACGATCGCGGGTCCACGCCAGCCGTGCTCGCCCTGGAGCCTCTTCGACTTCACGTGCTTCACCTCGCGCCAGTAGTATACCAGCTGGCCCGGTACGAACGGCCCGCGCGGCGGGCGAACGCGGCCGACCATGGCCCTCCTGACGGCGTCGTCGCTATCCAGCTCGAAGAACGCCCGGTTCGCCGCAGCGCGTATCTGTTCTGCCCTTCTCGGTCCGTCCTCGAAGAGCGCTGCGCTCTGTGCTGCCAGTTGCCGCTGGTCGCCCTCCATCGCCTCGATCAGCGAGGCCGGAACCCCGGGCGACTTGCCCAGCACGTACTGGTTTGGTGTGAAGCCGTTCCGCCGAATATGATCGTTGCACGTGCTAGCGATCACCGCTGTCCACACGTGCGGGTCGTCGTCCTTAGTGAGCTGCACGTCGCGGTTGAGGCGCTGGAAGTGGTCCTTGAAGAAGTCGATCGCTCGCTCCACTCGACCTTTCAGCTGTGGCGCCTCTGCTGGGACCGGCCTCATCAGGATGTTGTACTTGTCGCCGACCTCCACGAACCGCTTCGTGATGTGGCCCTTGGCCGCGTCGTAGTAGAGCACCTTAGGCGCACCAGCCCACGACAACCAACCTTGCGAAAAGCATCGCAAGCTCTCCTCTCCGGTGATGGACCTCACCGCTTTTGCGGGGATGATGACCCTGAAACCCGAGGCATCGTCCAGGATCACCATGACCATCAGCCTGGTCCCGTCCGAGAGGATCACCTCGGCCTCGTCCAAGAACACGTTCTGGATGAACTCCGTCGAGAGCTTCAGGTTGGAGCTCCGTGTCGTCGTCGGTCTGCCGAGCTCCTTGCACACGGCGCAGTCCAGCTTGTCCACCGCGTCCAGAACCTTCTGCGACACCCCGTAGGACTTCAGGCGTCGCTTTAGTGCGTGAGCCGAAGGGTGGCTCAGGTTCAGGTGGAGCTTCTTGAGCGCGCCCCACTGGGCCGTGGTGATGTCCGAAGGCTTGTCTCCGAAGCCTTCGCCCTCTCGCTGTAGGTCTCGGTGTGCCTCGTCAGCTTCGCGGTCGTCTGGAGTGAAAGCCTTCGGCTTGCTCCCATAGATGTGCACCGTCGCAGGGTATGACGTCTGCACCTTCGGCTCGTTCACGTAGATCGCGATCACCGTGTCCGTCGGGAACCGCTTAGCCGTCTTGACCGTCGCGAAGTCCTGGTCGCCCGCGTAGGCGTCGCTGTAGTCCGCCAGCACTCCCTCGTCGGAGTACATCGCGTAGATCCTCCGTATAGCTCCACGAGGTGGTGTAATCTCCTCGGTGCCCATCAGTACGCGCACGTCGATCAGCTCCTTCCTCAGCCTGAACGCCTTAGCCACAGCGTTCACCACCTGCTTGCTCGGGGACTTCGTCGTATTGCTCCCGATGCGCATCTCCTTCGGGCTGGTCCGTCGCGCCAGCTCGTGAGTGCCCGCAGCCACCAAGGTCTTGCCCAGGTCGTCCGGCCAGGCGCTAGCCTGTGCCAGCTCCGCGCTGCGCCCAACCATGTCGGCGTGCTTGTGGCTCCCGTCGCACTTGCGCTCGAGCCAGTCGGAAAAGCACGAGCCGTTGGGCACCATCATGCGCGTCGGCTTGCGGATCGGGTCGCCGTAGCTGTCCGTGAGCCCGTACATGCACTGGTGCAGCGTAACCGTCTCGTAGAGCGGTGGCTTGTCACCGTGCCAGCTGAGCAGGTTCGCGATCGGTGCTTCCCGCCACGCCCGGCTGGTGAGAGGATTCTCGCCGATGCCGATGCGTCCACCTTCAGCTTGTATCTGGAGCACCTCCGCTGAGAAGCTGATCAGCGGCTCAAACTCCTGGATCAGGTCGTCCACCCGGTCGCCCATGCCCTGAGCACGTTGAAACTCTTGCATATTCGAGTGGGCGGTGCACGGGAATGCGACCGAAACCATCCAGGGCTTAAAGATCCTGATCAAAACCAGAAAATCCGATCGCACCTTCGGGTCGTTGAAGTTCACACCTGTCGTTAAATCCGAGGGGGTCGCATTCGCGTGACCTCCCTTCGAAGCTACACGAGTAAAACGCGCCTCCTTCGCAAACAGCTCCCAGAGAAACGTCTCGTTATTGTCGCGCAGCACATCGAATATGACCGCATACTCCTTCATGAGTCTGTCGATCCTCTTGAGCGTATTCTTCTTGAATATGCCCTTGTTGCCGTTCTTGATGGCCTCCTGGACCCACCGGTCGGCGTCGTCCTGGTGCTTGAAGTCGGGCCCCGACTGCAGCGTCTCCGCCACCAGGAACACCTCCGGCTCGCTGTGCTGGACGCTCTCGGTCCTGATGCGGAACTGCTCGAACAGGGGGTCCGCCTCGTACGACTCCAGGTCGAAGTCGAGGATGTCGATCCCCGCGTGACCTCCGGGCAGCTTCATCAGCTCCATGTCGTACAGGCCCAGCTCCTCGAAGTCGGCCCACTGGCCGTCCTCGCGTAAGTAGAGGTTCGTCTTCCAGTCCGCCAGGTTCTTCTTGCTCGTCAGGCCGATCATGTCGCCAGGGATCTCGAAGTACTCCTGGATCACGTGCACCTTGCCGATCCCGATCGGCATGATCCACTTCTTCTTGGCCTCGCGTCGTGCGCCGCCGAGTCCCTTGAACTTCTGGACGGCGTCCACGATGATCGGCTCGAGGCCGTACTTCGCCAGCTCCGTCTTCTGCTTGTCCAGCCAGCCGCGCCCGGCCACCGCCACAGTGGCCCCGCTGTCCAGCAAGGAGGCCGAGACGATCTCGCTCGAGATCATCACGTCGACCTCGGGAACGTCGGGCAGGTGGTAGTCGCTCTCGGTGTCGGTCATCATGATGTCGTGCTCAGTGGACTCCTCGACCTTCACCATCGCGACCTCCTGGCTCTCGACACCCCCGTTGCTGAACAGGTCCGGCATGACGCACACCAGCGTCGTCATGGCCCAGAAACCCAGCCGTCGTGGACGTCCTGCCTTGCTCGTCTTGCCGCGGCCCTTGAAGCCCTTGCTCGCCGGTCGGCCGGAAGCTCTTGGCGTCGTGCAGTCCTGCGTAGCGTGATCCATCCTGCCACAGTTGCCGCACTTCTTATCCTTTGACTTCCCTTTGTCCTTGCCTTTGCCGCCGCCTTTGCTTCCCTTCCCGGCCGCCTTGCCGCCGGCCGCAGCACTCTCGTCCACGACTCCGTCGATCTTGCCTTTGAAGAATCCGCGCGCCGCCCTGATCTTGTTCATCTTGAAGCGGCTCTCGCGCAGCGTGACGAGGGCCTGGTGGTAGTCGTCGTCCTCATTCGCGAGGTACGCGTCCGCGCCGTCCTCGATGTAGAACAGGTCGCTGTTGTCCCACTCGTCGTCGTCGTCCTCGAGGGCCGCGTAGATGCCGCGCTCCTCGTCCCACTCGTACCAGTACCCGTCGTCGTCCTGGACCCAGTACTCGTCGACCGTGTCGTCTTCGTCCGCGGTGGGATCGCCGTCCGCGTAGTTCGCCCAGCGCCATCCGGCGCGAGCCTGTCGTTCTCGGTGCTTGCCTCCGCCTCGGGGGAAGAGATTCTTCAGGGTCATGCTGATCTTCTGGAAATCGAACGTCTCCTCCGCCCGGGCGATCACTAAGTTGCGCTCGTCCCTGTCCAAGCCGCTTCGCTTCAGCGTGTGGTAGCCCAGCTCGTTGGCACTGATCTTCGTGTCCGGGTCGACCTCCTCGAGGTTCCGCTTGGCTACCTCCATCGCCGTGCAGAACGCTGCCATCGGCTCTTCACCCTTGCGCTCGAAGTGCGTCTGGTCGAAGAACTGGTCGAATGCCTTCGGCAGCTCTCTGAAGCTGCTCTTGGCGAAGCGCTGGTCTTCTAGGAACTTCAGTAGCACTCGAGCGCCGTCCTCGGTCGCGTAGTCTACAGGATCCGACTGCTCGATCAGCACGCTGATCGAGTTATCCGCGCCCAGCAGGTTGCGGTACAGCTTCGGTCCGAGCGCTCTCTTCTGCTCTGCGCTCTCGCAGCTCAGCTCCGCGGCCTGCACCGCGCGCTTGTACCGGGTGAAATCCTTCAGCGTCTCACCCTTCAGCACCGGTACCTTGGGATCCACCGCGTTGTTGTAGTCACTTGCCATGGCCACAAACTTCTCTCGATGGGATGGCTAGTCCCGCTCGTCGTCTCTGCTGGAGTCAGTGGGGCCAACCACTCGCTCCGCTGCCAACCTCGTTCTCGTCAGAACTTATCCCCAGCCGTCTCCGTGGGACCCTGGGGTTCGTCACTCACTCGAACTCGATCGATAGTGCCGATCGCCACTATCGCCGCCCCCGCCCCGATGCAACTGCCGTGGGAGGGAGGCACACACTTTTGCTCGAGCCCAAGCGCCGGCGCTGCACGCACGCGTGTCAAACAGTTCAACACACAGAATCTACACTCACCATCCTTGGGGGGGCTCCAAACTGCGAGCCTGTCGCCACCCACTTCGAGGGCTGCCAGGGGGGGGGCAGCATAGCGGGTACCGGTGGCAGATTCTGATTTGATTTCTCCATGGGCTGCGAACAGCGGAGCTGTCGCCACTTTTGAGGGCTGCTATGGGGGCCAGCATATGTAGTGGGTACCGGGCGAAGATTCACATTAGACCTCGCCATCGCTGGGGGGCTGCGCACTGCGAAGCTGTCGCCAGTTTCGCAAACAAATTATTCACTGTTTGGAATTCCCCATCTGTGCATTTTTTTGCACAGACCTGTCTGCCGTGAGTGGCTAGGTGCAAGAGACTTCGAATTATAACGGGCTTGGGTATTGATAGACTGGAGTGAGCCTAGTTGTGAATAAGTTGGAGTGTGAATGAGTCTCAGTAGTACGCGCATGAGCCCGGGGCCTCCTGGAGCCTCCTGGGGTTCCCTGGGGCCTCCTGGAGCCGTTTGGGGTATCGTGGGGCCTCATGGGGTGTCCTGTGGCCTCCTAGTGCCTCCTGGAGCGTCCTGGGGCCTCATGGGGCCTCGCGTGGCCTCCTGGGACCTCCTGGAGCCTCCTCTTGAGAGAGCGGCAACTATAGGAACACGCGTAAAACAGTAAGGACTCGAGCCCGAGGGCAAACCCAATTTGTAGGAACATACGTAAAAACAGTTAGGATTGGAGACACAAGAGGAGGACAATAGGTAGACACATACGAAACAGCAGGATTCGTGCCCCAGGAGTGCGAATAGAACCCGTACAATACCTTCATACATACTCATTTTTCTCACTCTCCTGCGCCTGGCCGTTTGGGCTCAGGTATTGGACTAGATCGATCATACCTTTGATCGTGCAGGAGGAAAAGATATCCATCTTTCCCTCCTTTCCTCTACCAGCGGATCAGGGTTTCTGTACCTTTTGTACCTAAACCCCATACAAAGGCTATCAGCCCTTAAAGCTCACAGTTCATCGAACCCCGCGTCGCGATCTCGCACGCGGCCTCGATGGAACCCAAGCGGCGCATACGCCGTAAGGGGTCCGTCGGGGCCTCGCGTCCGAGCTCTCCGACGGCGCCACGGCTCGGTGATGAGTTAGAGAGCCTTCATGTGGACCGTGTGGGTGTCCCAGATACCCCCCCCCAGCTCAGACGGACCCGAAGCGCGGCTAACAGCTGAACTTCACCGCCACGCCGCCCGCGGGGGGACAGGAGAAGGAGTAGGAGCAGGCAGTCGAGAGTTTCACGCGCCTACCTTCGATCCTCCATCTCCTCTTCCGTCGGGAGCAATCCCAACTGCGTCGGGCGCCAGCCCCGCTGGTCCTGATACTCCAGGGCGCTCCCGCGCTACCCGCCGATGGAACACAGGTACTGGCATGACCAGCCCTGCGACCGTTCCTGTAGCGGAGCACGTTGCTACCTTTGAGGAACTCAGTAGACCAGTGGCGGCGCAGCCGCAGACGCAGTATCCCCAGGCATCATCTCATCAGACACCGCGCGCACGCGGCCCTAGCCGCAGCTCGCCCTTGCGTAACCGTCGTGAGGCCACAGGCCCATACGACGAGAAATGGTCGAGCCCGCGTGCCGCCTCTCAGAGGCCACGCAGTCCTCGCGAGAGGATGCAGCGGGGAGCTGACGCTCCCCACCTTTCCCTCTCAGACGACCTGCCGGCGGTAACGTCCGCTGCAGGTGTGATCGCTGAGCTTAGAGACCAGCTTGAAACCTCCCTGCCCAGGCAGTACTCTGGACTGATGCAGAGCGTTCAGACGAACGCTGCCAACGCTGCTGCCCCACGTCAAGACTTCGACGGCGCCTTAGCGATAATAGATTCCAGGATCGCTGAAGATCGCCGCATCTTAGGTGTCACGTTCAGGTGAACGGTCAGCGACGGTCGAGCACCTGCGCAACTACTTTGCGCAGATGGAGCAACAGCTTGTGATCGTCCGCGACACAGGCGTTTCAGCGGTCAGGATCTTACATGACGAGATTCACGACCAGCTCCGCAACCGACCGCCTCCAGCCGAGGCAACCGACCTTGGCGACGTCCAGTCTCAGATCAACGATCTTCGATCCCACATGGGCCACGCGACAGCGACGCTTCGCACCGAAGCAAACAACAACTCGTCGAACCTGATCGGCACGATGCGCAACGCTGAGAGAGTTTTTCGCTCAAAGGCTCGATGCGGCCAACGCTGTCGTGCAGCCACTCACTAACCGGATCTCTGAAATCGAGCAGCGTTTCCCTGGTGCACAGGGCGCCCTGGCAGAGTTGCGTGTCGGATCAGCCCAGACTGGCCAGCTGGAATCTCCTCCTACGGTTTGCGATTTCGCCCGCCTCACTGACAGGTTGCAGGGGGTTGAGACGGCGGCGGACCACGCGCAGACTGCGCTTTCCAAGGTTATTCGTGAGAGAGATGCTGAAAAAGGTACGCGTCGAGGAGTGTCTCACACGTCTGGAAAGTGAAATGGACGCACGCAACGTCCGTCTCCGAGCCCACGAGCAACGACTTGATCGGCATTCACAACGCTCGCGGGACACTGACGATTATGCACGCCATCAAGTGGACCAGATACCCGAGGATATGACGAGCTGGACAAACCAGTTGATTTACCACGCCAGCGACACCACACTTCACCTTCAGCCTACAACCGGCCTTTCCAGGCCGACGGCAGCGTCCGCTGAAGCACCGCGCGCTTCTGCAGGACAACAACAACGTACGTCACCAGGAGCCGCCTCCGCGGCGGTTTCGGTACAGACGCGCCACGTGTCTCCCGTGCGCACAGAACCAGCCACCGACGGTGTACCGATACCCTCGCAACCATTGTCTGCGGTTTCGGTCAACATTACTACTCCCATCAAGGAGTCAGACACCGTCCGAGCCCCCGTCTTGCCTAAGATCACACAGCTGGTAGAGTGGCAGCAACAGGTACGGATGGATTTTGGAGCCGCTTCAGGGCGACCATCCACAGCATATGCTTTCCTGCGCGTGGCTGAACAGCCCGAGTGTACCTTTGAGGACTTACAAGACAGCGGAGACTTCGAGGGCATCGATTGCAAACTCGCGACCGCTCTCAGCGGCATATGATCCTCCGATTTGCGTTACCAAATCAGGCTCATCGAGACCAGAGAGCACAAGGCAGGACGCATGCTCAAAAGACGCCAGATCTACTGGCACATCCTGCAGCCCTACAAAGTGACAGAGGTCGAAGACGACCTACATGATTTGGAGCGCCTCAAAGAACTGAGGATGAGAGATGAGGGTTCGCAACGATTTATTACCGACTGGGACGCTTTATTGTTGGATTGCGGAGAGGCGCCCGACCCAGAGATCTTGGAATCTCTGTTTCGCACACATATTCGCCGACATGCCTGGATGAAACAGGATATGTACGAGTACCAGCGCATGAAGATCAGCGACCCGAATCGTACATATGACTGGCTCCGACAGCGCGTTCTAGACGTATTGGAGCTCAAACAACTCGAGAAGAATCAAAATAAGTTACGGTACGAGCATGAGGACCGTTCTCAGGCGCACACCTGCGCAGCCTGGAAGAAAGGCACTTGTCGCAATGGTGAGCGTTGCAGGGCGTTACATGCCTTTTCCAGGGATGGGAAGGACAGCAGATCTTCCCGAGCATCGAACGCTGGCCGCAACACTCGCCGCAGCGTCTCAGCCCCTGCGAATTCCAAGAAGCCAGGATCGAATCCATTTTGCTTCGAGTTCGCCAAGCGCAGCACCTGCGCGCGCGGCGACAAGTGCAGCTTCCCACATTTTGCGCAGCGCAGTTACTTCGCGCAGAATCAGTGCCACAAGGGCGACAAATGTAAATACGCTCACCTGGCACCTGGCGCGAAGACACTTGAGAGAAGCCCCAGCCGCCCACGGACTTCCAGCCAGGACAGTCGCGGACGACCGCCATCCCGCGCATCGGGGAGCCGAAGCTCTCCACAACGCGGGGGGGTTCGGAATGCGGGGGGCTCATGCAACAGACGTCGCAACCGACGCCAGTGCGACCGATCTCGATCACCTTCGAAAATTTACAGACCCTCGCAGTCAGTCGAGAGGCCGATATGGTAGATAATCACGAGCATCCTCCCGAGGGCGAGACGGGCGTGGCGGAGGACGCGGCAGTCCACGTGGCCGCGACAGATCATATGGCAGCGACAGAGGACGTGACCGACGTTCCACGAGCCGCGGTTCTTCCCGTGGCTCCCCCAAGTTCAGGGCACGCTCTCCCGCTACCTATCGCCGCCCGCGACAGTCCGACCGCAGTTACGTCATGCGCGACAAGACTCTCATGGCCGCCCACAAGGCCAAGACAGCATCTACCAAACCACGGCGCCGGATACGTTTTGACACACATACCGTGGAATACTACCCGTGCATAGTTTCTGGCAAGTCCACTCTGGATAAGTGGATGGAGAAGCCAAACGAGGGCGATATCGTCAAAGTACCAGATCCGCTGCCACAATGGCGGTGGAAACAGAGTGCAGACGCCCTACAACGTTGTCAACGGGAGGCCAAGTTATGACATCAGGACCTACATGGCTACCGACACGACAAGGCGTCGGTAGAGACACCAATTGCGATTCCAGATTCCGACGATTCTACCGCAGAGTCCTCCGAGACACACCAGGAGAGGACAGCGACTCCGCAAGTCGACCCGCCACGATTGACAGCTGCACT